CAACTCTCTAGATTTCATTCCATATAAGGAGAAACCTGATGGTACCATCAGTACAACAGCCTTTGGAAGCTTTTAAGAAGAGGCTGGACAGTTACCTCTAATAGGTATCCTGCACATTGCAGAGGGTTGGACTAGTTAATCCTTGTGGTCCCTTACAACTCTACAATTTTATGATTCTCTATATGATGTATGGTATAAGAGCATCAAGGTAGGCCACGATCCTCCTCCTTCACCTATCATTTGGTGTACCTGTGAAGATGAACATGTAACTAGGCTTATATCCTTGTGCATGAAGGACTTTTATACTACACCACTGGCCTTGCCAGGACCACAGTCCAAAGGCCAGACACTAAGGAATTAAGAACCAATCTTCTCTTGTATCCTGCTTCCCCCATTCCTAAAATTAAAGGGCTTTTCCTTTCCAGGAATTTTTCAGAAATGGAAAAAAAATAAGGAAAAGAGTTAAATGTAAAAAAATAAATAAAAATCAGATGCTATGAATAAGGATTAATTGACAGTGAGAGAATTCTGGCTGAAAATATGTATATACCTCTTCCAAGAACAGTTGAAGGTCTAGTTAAAAAAATAAGAAAACACCAGTAAAAAGGAGGAGAACATGAAAGCCAAGAAGCAGATTTACTGTACTCAATGATGATATTACTAATCACCCATTCATTCTGATGTAGAATCCAGTTTGGATTGCTGCACAAACTTTATGGGGGAAGGGAAGGGAAGGGGAAGGGGAAGGGGAAGGGGAAGAGGAAGAGGAAGAGGAAGAGGAAGGGAAGAATGCACTTCATATAGAGATCATGATTAAAATACTTGCAAGTTAAGAGTTAGTAGCACAGAGTTATTTCTTGGCTTAATAAGCTTAGAATCTTTGCTGTCAGATGTTTAGCACACCAGATAAATAGCAGACTGTTCCTTCTATGCACGTGACCCATAGTATTGCATACCACATGGTTGATCCAAATCCAACCCAGAAAGAGCTGGATTTATCTGATTTATCTTCTGCTGTTCTAGCAATTGAGACCAAACTTTCATCACCCCTTTAATATGCCTGAACAAGCTCCTCATAGCTGCTTCTTAAGGCAAATGCAAAGGATACCCAATACAAGGTAAGACAGATTGCATTTCCCTCTCCTGCACACATAAAAGATTAGTAGTCATGGGGAAAAGGACGACTTAATCAGGTAAGTAGTCTGGGGGGAAGAATCAATTCTCCTTCCCTAACATCCTTACACTGCTCTTAACAGGTTCAACGACCCCCCCCCCCCCCCGTTTAACTCACAAACGTTTAAGGTCTGACCAAAAACTTAATTGTGTTACATATATTTTAGCCTTGCATCCCTTACAATCTTAAAAGTAATCAAAATTATGCACCTCAAAACCTGGCTCAGGGATGGCAGTCTGGCCTTTCCGAATAACGTCTAGCTGCAAGTTCGGGGGGGGGAGTCTGTATTTGACTCAAGTTCCCACATCCCCAAGTTGGAGAGCCAAACTCCACGTAACAGAACATCAGCAGACTCCGGAAACCCTGAGGTTTGCAAGATATTTAGGAAAAATCTGTGAACTAAACAGAATGGAATGTCGAGAAGAAAAGGCAACTGAGCTACAGAGGGAATGAAACGAGAAAGCGGGAGACCCACCGAAGAGAGCAAAAGCCATCTCACCCCAGTCACCCTGGCTCCTACTTTTTCACTGGCAACAATGGCTAAATCAGAGACTTCAGTGCGGCTAGACACAGGTCTGTCCACAAAAAGAAAAAGGTCTGAACCCACCCGGGGAAGTATGGATTGCAAACGGCTGAATGGAAGGATAGATGGTGATAGGCAAATATAATAGATGCCTTGCAGATTCAGAAACTGCATTTCGTTAAAAAGAAAAAAAAAGCCTTCATAGAGAGAGAATATTGGACAGGGATTAGGAGATCTGAAGGCTTTTTGTTTTCTATATGTTCCTGTCCATATCAAATAAATTTGGATTTATATAGCCGCTCATCTCATATCAAGGGACTCTGGGTGGTTTTCTTGTTCCCAGGGGTGATCCTAAGGAAAAGCACTGCAACTACACTTTTCCAGGGAGAGTCCATAATATATATATATATTTTTGCAAAACTGCCCTGGGAATCTGTCAAATAGTGTGATAAAAATTCAAATCCGATCACGTAAAAAAATGGCCAGCATTGCATAACATGTACACTGTACTAGCGAGACCTTTGGCCAAATTCAGCAGGGCTATTCCTTTACTTGCACACTGTACTGTTCCACCTCCAATAAAATGTTTTTTAGTGAAGTCAATTTATATCTTCACAACCAAAGAGCCTGCGTATCTAATTTATTTCTTTCATTGGACTCTGATTAACAAACGTCGTCAAATAAGTCACAGAAATCTGTGACAGAGGGAAAAAAATCTGCTAAAAAGTAGAGACACAAATAATATGCACATTCATATTTACAGTATATCTAAAGTGCTGCCAGCTGTTGCAATGGAAATAAAATATAGTTTGCCCAAATTTTATAGAAATGTGGTTCCTGCCTCTGGTGTTTCTCTATTTTAATTGTATCAGTAATCTTTTTTTAACGTGGGAATTGAAGAGGCCTTGTCCATCCACATCTCAATTGCTAAATTCTCTAAAGCTTTCCAATGTTGGACAATTATTATTTTAGCTGCTAAAATTAAGTAGATAAGAAGTTCCTTATTGTTAAGCCTGAGATTCAATCCCATAAATAAGTGAAGTAACCCTATCTCTGGGAAGCGTTTGATTCACTGTTTAGTAATACAACCCAAGAACCTAGACATACACGTAAATTCATCTATCAGAATGCTCAAACTTCAGAATAAGGAATCTGCAAGAAGTCCAGACTAGCAACACAATTTTATTTGTAAACATTTAAGTTACATGTTCCAATAAGTTAACTGAATTCCAGCTTTTGTACATTTCACTGTATATGGTCAAAGTCGGATTAGGAAGAAAGAAATTGGTTTTATGGTTGCCACTCCATGTTTTAAAATGTCCTAAGATATAAGCAGCATTAAAAACAATGGGGAAATACAAAGAAAAACAACAGCATTATTGAAAGAAAGAATTAGGCTGTTAGGTAGTTGAGAGAAGGGGAGGTTGTATATAAAAAAGAGCCATCAAAATAAAATACATCCTGGAGAAACTCACAGAGCAAGTCCAATAAAAATATTCTTTCTGGATGTCTCATTTACTCTAAATTCAAAAAGCAGATTACATCTTAGTAATGAAGCACGAACTATGAAATGTCAAGGCCTAAAATACTATTAACCTGATTCTGGACAAGTAAAAGCTGCTGAAAAAAAAAAACCCCAGAATAAAAAAAAAAATTAACTGATTCAACAGATGGAAAATTTCACCTTTGTTCACAGTATATTTAAATCATCATTCAAAAACATCTAAAATATAGCATAAGCAGCAAAAACAAACAAAAAAACCAAAAAGACAAATTAAGGCTCTGCTTCATATCTGTTTTTCATTATGGAGGGGGTGTTTGTCAGAGTGAGGCAAAGGCCTGGCTTGGAATGATCCTTCCTCACCCATCCATGACCCTCTGGAATATATGGCCATGATTCACCATGCGGCACCTCTTCCGTATCTAGGTTAAATGTTACTTTTCTCGATTCTTATGCCTTGCAATAACTGCACCCAAAAAGATAGCTTGCCTACTAGAAGTTTTAGGGAAGCTTTAAGATTAGTTACAAGACCAAAAATGGGCAAAGCAGTATCTGGCAGCTGGAAATCAAATAAGAAGCCGGATTCAAGCGGAGATGGGAATCCTAGCCCTTCTCTTGCATTAGCAGGAAAGCCCTGAAATATTTCCAATGAATTTCTGGGTACAGATGTCCGTTCTATATTTAAGCAAAACAGGACGACAGCAAGGGCTGTCATTCCTGTGCCATCACTGAAAGTCTAATATGTGGGAGATCCAATGATTTCTCAATATTCAAACATTTGTAGGGTATGGGAAAGTGCCTGAACTTTGCCATAGTGTTGGCAGTACGGGTGGGGGCAAATTAGTCTTCTACACGTTGTATTCATGGATTGAAATTAAACCAAAAGCAGCAGCCTTTTAGGGTGGCAATTAGGGTTCACAGAAGCCTTAGGGGAGGGCAACTGAGAGCAGGAAAGTCACAAGGGACTGTTGTAATCAAATCTGGAAGCAGCCCATTGGGAAATCTAATCTTGGTTCTCTTCTATCATGTGAAATATTGTCCAGAGCATCATAGTAGCTGGGTGGTAAAGTAGTTTCTCTTAGGATAATCCTCATGCAAAATAATAATAATTTCCCTTATTCCTTATATTCTTGCCTTGTGTAGCTGCAATATACAAATCACTTATTCAAACAGACCAAATTATTTTGGACAAACTATGTTAATTGCCAACTTATCAAATATTCAGAAGAGTAGCTTGATAAGTATCTAGTGCTTGCTAATACCTAGTTATCTCCAGGAGATGGTCTTCAGCCTGAGGATCTCTGCATAATAAGCTGCTGTTTATGCCCAGAAATGGGCCAGCTTCCTGAATGGTGCCCCTTCCCAAATCATCTGGCATCCCAACATTTTTGGAAAACAACTGGCTTCTGAACTGCAATCAATCCATCTGTATCCTCTTCCTGTTTTTTCCCCTGTTGGTTAGAAGGCTGTTAAGTAACAGCTGTGGTACTTGAAGTATTGACATGCATGTGGTAAGTCACATCTTCAGGCGAAGCTGTGTGTTAAGCATCGTATTAAAGGCCCTATCCTAATATAAAGAGGGAAGGGAGGGTTAAAAAAAAAAAACTGCTGGGAAAGGAGAGAAAGATTGCTAAAAGCAGCCCTCTTCATACAAATCTGGCCATTCCCGCTCTTCAGAAGAACAGAACCCAGAGTTGGTGAAGAGAAATATAAGGGGACTATTGTTTTGCACGTGTGTGTGTCTGTGTGAGAGAGTATGTGAGGGAGGGAATGAGGGAGGGAGGGAGGGAGAGGGGGGGAAAATAAAATAATATCCAACCATTTTTCTCATTTTTAAAATATGGACAACAAATCCTTTTTTTAAAAAATACATTTCCTGCTATATCCTCCTGGAATGTCACATAAATGCTCTCTAAATTCTTGGTCCCCCAAACATCCCCACCATTTAAGCCTGCTGATTTGCCTTAAAAAAAAGAAAAAGAAAAAAATCCAGTTAAAGAAAATAAACGCCCTTCTCACAAAGTCCTGGATCATCCACTTTAGGCCACAATGATTTTAGAAAACAATTCTAATTCCTAACTTCTTACAGCTGCATTTTTAAACTTTGCAGCTGCTGAGAAGATCCTGAAATTAGCAGAACTGCATTACAGAATGTGTATCAACGCTACAAAACTAATTTTTAAACAACACTGCGCACATTTCTCTTGCCCTTCTAGGAAGGGAACACTGATAAAATCTAGAAAGACTCCAGCACAATCATCTCCATTAACTTTTTAAATATTGAACCAAACACCTCAACTGCCGTGGCCACTTGAATCTACTAGAACACCCTCCTGCATCTATTTGGCTGAAACAAATGAAATGATATAAAAAGGCAACCTGCATTTGAGCATTATTTTTTTCAGGAGCATTAGGAAATTCCCCAGGGGATTATCCCCCAAAAGCTTCCCAATTCAGTATTAGGCTTGCCTATATTTTTAATACCTTGCTTATAGTTCCAATATCTCCATCTATCTGTCTATTCCTACATGGTAGGTAAACGTTTTCATGGGTTTAGCTTTCTGCTGAGGATTTCAGTTATCCCAGAGCAGAATCCACTGAAACTCTTCCTATGCAGCCTCCAAAGCATGGAATACAGTTGACCTCATGTCTATAAATATTTTGTGGACTGCATTCAGTTTGCCAAAGAAGCTCACCTACAGTCTGTTTTTCAGGACAGACCTTTTTGCCTAACTATTTTCCAAGCTGCCTGATGAAGTGTGCTTGAAAACCCAAGCGAACAGACCCAAATCTTCAAGGTTCAGCTTTTGGGACAGTTGTTGCAGCTTTCAAAAGCCAAATTCCACACATGATGAAGAATTCACACAAATGGATGACTATGGGTTGAAATCCATCATGTGTAGAACTATTGCATAGCTACTCTACAATGATGTGGCCGTGTGAGAAGGTTTTCTGTTAGAAAGGAAACATTAATTCAATCTCTTAATGTTTTCCCATGAAGCATCTGCAGATGTTTACAAAATTTAAGATTAAAACCCAGTACAAAATAGCATCAATGTTTTGATGCCAAAATCTTCCAACCATTGTTTTCATCAGGTAGATAACAGACTAGGTCAGCACTAGTCCCTTGTACTACTAGTCCCCAAGAGCATCACCAGAATCACAGACAGCTATGTAGCATTATTTGAGTAATAATTTGTGCCTTTCTAACACCAAAAACTGTTTTAACTGTTGCGTATTACTGTAATACAAAAGAACCAGGCAAATTTAAGGTCAGCATTACTAATATATAAAATTGCTATTGTCCCTTGCGACGGCATAGAAATTTGATGATCAGAAAGCTTAGTACGGGGACTCTCTGTTAAAAAAGAAAGATTGATTGTCTTGAGATAGAGACAGGCCAACAACTAACAAAGCTTTTTTGTTATGGCAGAACATGCAAGAAATGGGGAGACAGAATGCCTCTCCCCCTCCAATTGAAATGTAACATTACACACTTTAATAACACTATCACTGCAGGGGACGAACTGTGATAGCATCACAAGGTTCAGAAGATTGGCACTGTGAGTTGAATGCAGTTGGTTACCAGGAGTAAAAAGGCAAGATGTGAATGCCATGCTATGACCCTGCATGCTATTTTAGGTGTTCTGGTGGCATGGCTGCAATAAGGACAGAGGAAGGAGACCATCCGTTCCATTCCGATAATACACCATCCTTAAACATGAGATTCTTGGCAGGAAGTGGAACCCCAGCGTCGGCAGAAGCTGGATGAGAAAGTAAACTTGACGTAGAAGAAGAAGAAGAAGAAGAAAAACTGGCCTCTGAAAGCAACTCCATGGTTGAAATATTTTCCTAAAGGAAAAGAAGGGTACAGGGTTCAATAGGATTTCAGCTTGACTATCTAACTCACAGTCCCACCATCTAGCTTGGCTAATGCAGATTTCTCAAGAATGAATCTTGCATGGAAAACTGCAAGACATTAAAAACACAGTTAAGACCCTGACAATATTTTTTGTAGTTCACCAAAGATTGTGGGGCATAGAAAGAAAGAAATTGCTATTGTCCAGAAATGCAGCAAGTGTTATGTTCTAACATTTATTAACTTAGTTTCTCTATTTTGATAATCAAAGGATTCATCATGGTGAATTAAGGTCTCCCCCCCCCCTTCTATTCTTGTTAAATCCACAATATGCAGTGGGGCATACATCTGGCATCTGAACTGGGGTTCCTCTGCTGTCCAAGGATTCAACAGTTGGCTCAATGACACGAGTATGTAGCTTTGGGCAGTATGGGGAGGGGGGAAGGCCTTATGAAAGCAAAGCTGGGACAAAAACACAAACCAGTTTCATTTAAAGTCAAACTATTTCATGTTTAGCTGTTCTTTTCTTTGATTTCAATCCACAGATCCTTGGAGATCCACCCTCTCCTGCATGCAATAGATGTTTGAACACTGCAACTGCATCTCCCCTTAAACTTTACTTTGCCAGCTTCCCAGCTTCTTTAGCTGTTCCCATTGGGATACCACGGACAATGGTACTGAAGCCCACCAAGGGGTCCAAAAAGACCACAAGATACATATTCCTGTTTCAGCTCCTGACAAAGACTATTCAGAAGGGTGACCAGGGTGGTTTCCAGCCCGTGCCCAGATCTAACTCAGCATATAAATAAATTAATAAATTATTATTACATTTACCTGGAATGAATGAACAAAGCTAAGGACCTGCAGGGAAAGTTTTCTGCTGGAATGTAACAGTTTTTGAAGGCTGCCAAAAGACAAGAGAAAAAAACCAAGTTACAAGGTCCATGTACATGATAATCAAATTCCAATTTCCTTTATTTTTCTCTGGTATAATCGAAGAAAACCTCACCTCTCTCTGCTACACAATCCATGGCTAGCAATCTTTCGGCAGACTTTCCGGTTGAGCTCTGAACTGAACAATGGGATTCCAAAACTCAATTCCAGGGGAACCCACTCCAGTTCTGTTGTAGGAGCTGAAAAGATACCGAGAAAGGGCAAGGTGGAACCGACTTAAGAGAAGCTGCCAACATTGATTACTTTTTAATCACTTTGGGAATTTAGGTCCCTTCAAACTACAGTGTTAGTGATTGGTGGCTACTGTACATGCTGATGACAACAT